GTTACCAACAATTTATAGCAGTGTAGCTAGCCCTTTAGGAGTGGTTCAGCATCTTTGCAGACAGTTGGGTTTGCCATTATCTTGTATTCGACCTGTACCAGTCAATACTCATTTTGGTGAGTTCTCAAATTGATCACCTTGTAGGTTTGCTATGCTTTTTCTGCATTAGTTTTATGTATAAGCAGGTACAAACCAGAAATCTGTAATACTAAGAGAATAGTGTAAAAAAGAAAAGAAGATTACTGATATCATTGTAAAATCCCTTCATTTAAATGGAAATTGAGGTTAAATCTCCAGTATGATTTCAAGACAGTTGAGAAGATTATGAACACCTTTCAAAGGTTATAGTAGAAGTTGTTGAAACACTCGTGTTCATTTGGAAACTTAAATGAGTTTGGCAGCAAGTTATTACTGATAAATGGAATTTAATACTGTCTATGGAAATAAAAGTCTAAAACGGTTGAACATTGTGAATATTTCAGTGTTACGATCTTCGTTCGGATTTGAAGACCGTCGTGGTTTGGAACTGTATCGTAACGTTTCGCACGAGTGGCTGTCTTCTTCAGAGGTCTATTCATCCTGATGGTTCATCGATGACTCCGAATGAACCATCAGGATGAAAAGACCTCTGAAGAAGCCAGCCAGTCGTGCGAAACGTTAGACTGGCTAAACCATGAAGGCCTTCAAACCCGAACGAAGATCGTCAATTTGTTGTGAATATTTGATGGACTCATAGTCTATGATTTTTTACGAAATAAATTGTATGGAATGAAGGGACACCTACTTATTGTGACCTCGTTTCAGGCTGCCACTGGTAGCCATAAACCAATTGTGACGTAGCTAAGAGCGCGCGAATGTACGATGTCCGCTGCCACTCTAGATATAGTGACAATAATTCTACCGTCTTCGATGGAATTCCGAGGAATTTTCCAGCGCCGTCGATTGCCAAATATAAGCGCCATCCACTCGCTCATCGACACAGTCAAATGAAATTATGGGAAATCCGTTAAGCCCCTTACTTGCGGAAATTTTCATGGATAACCTAGAGAAGTCGATTTTTAAACATCTATCTATCTATCACAAACAGTCTTATACGGATATTACTATATATTACGATTCTACCCATCCATATCAATACAAAGTAGAAGCTTATAATAGCATGATTCACAGATTAGTCAATCATAATTTCAATAAAGAACTTAATATCATCAAGCAAATTGCAGTAAACATTAGGTTTAAATCTGAATTAATAAACAAAATACTTTCCAAAAAAGTCTATGCAAAAGCGATTTATTCCTATTGATAAGGTAGAAAATCAAAATTGTAGAGCTTTATCGTAGTTTGGACAAACAACAGAAAAAGTGACTTGAGGAAACAAGATATTAAAATTGCATGTAGAATAAGTAATACTTTGAGAAAGTTAGTTAAAAATAATAAAGACAAAATATCCAAATTCGAGAAATCAGGAGTATATAAATTAACGCGATTGCCGTTAAATCTGAATTGAATGCTAAAACAATTAATTTGACACGGAATGTATTAGAACAATTATTTGTTTTTCTCAATATTAAAAATCGTAAAGTAATAATTGGAGGAATCTATATACCACCATCATCATCAAATGATATTTATGAACAACACACGTATGACTATTGACTATATTCTTGAAAACTATAGAGATTGTGAAATTATCCTATTTGGGGATTATAATATACCAAATGCCGCTTGGTTCAACGATGATTTAGGTCTGAATGTCAATTGTCCAGATAAGTCTCCCGCTATTGTGTTACAACACTCTTTTGGCTATTACAACCTTCATCAATTGAACACCATTGCTAATAGCAGGAATATTACACTAGTTTTAGTTTTTTCATCATTATGAATCGTTGGATTTGCTGTTTCCTAACAGTATGCATCACACCACAGTAACCTGCAACCTGAAATTTGATAGAGAACCGCAACTTAGATATGAAGAGTACTATTATGATTTTAAAAATGGTGATTATTATGGAATAAATAATTTTTTCGCTAGTATTGATTGGAATATTATTTTTGAAAGTACACTTAATATCGATCAAGCTGTTCAGAATCTATACGGAGTGATTTTCACTGCTGTTGACTTCTATGTACCATTTAAAAGATTCAAAACCTCTAACTTTCCCGTCTGGTATAATTTTGAACTGAGAAAACAATTAGTAGAAAAGAAAAAATTTCATAAAAGATACAAAAGTATTCCAAATGATTCTCGAAGCTTTTGGAAATATATAAACAATAAAAGAAAATCATATAACGTACCATCAACCATGTATTTGGAGGATATCACTTGCAATAGTAACGTAGGTATTGTTGATCTTTTCGCAAATTATTTTTCTACTACCTATTCTGACGAAAAGGTTTTTCAAATTTCGCAATACAAATGTACAGAGAGTTTACATATTTCCAACTACTATATTGAAACAGCAGAAATAATCAATCAACTCATGATAACCCCAGGAAAACTCTCAGCTGGTCCCGATGGAATTCCTTTGCAAAAAGTCCGAACTAGTGAAATTCATCATGAAACATTGTCAATCACCTTCAAATAAAATATACATACTGACTAGTATCAGTGAATGAGAAGACGAGAGAAAAGCAAGAGAAAAAAAGACAAAAGAGAAAGAAGATAGGAACCCTTTTTATAATTTATTTTCACTTGTGAGGGCAGTGATTCCTTTAGGTCATGAGGTATTGAGGTTCAACTCAGTACACCTCGAACTTCACTGTTTAAGAACTCCTTCATCTGGAGAACTTTCAAATAGGCACCGCCTCTGAGGGCGCCTTAAGGATTTTCCTGTAGTGCTTGTGTTTTGTCCTTGAAAAAAACAAAAATTTTTGAAATGTGAATTGTCGTAAATTTAAAAATTCGGTAATATTTTTGGCCAATCTTTAATTTGCATATATCCCAGCGTCAGATCTTACTGCCAACTTAGACATATGTGGTCTGTTCAAAAATTGGGGTGAATGTTTGAATTTCATGGGCTATGTACATTCGTTAGTGTTTTTTTATGTTGGTACACTTGTTTCGAACATGTGTTCACAGTGTCAGCCATTTAGCTTGTTCAGTTTGTTGGTGGTAGGCATAAAAATTTAAAGTGTTTTGCGTGTTCAGCAATTTTCTGCTATCGAAAAAATGGATCAAAGAATTTGCATCAGATTTTGTGAAAAAATAGAATCGAGTGTTCAAAAGCACTTGAAATATTGACAGTAGCATACGGTGAATGTACTCTGAATAAAAAAAAATTCACGAGTGGTAAAAGCTTTCAACAGAAGGACAATGCTCATCCTGGACGCCCCAGCCCATCAACAACCGATGAAAATGTTGAGAAAGTGAACAAAATTGTCTGGGGAATCGTCGAATCACTATTAGAGAAGTTGCTGAGGATGTCGGCATATCGGTTGGCTCATGCCATGCAATTTTTTCGGAAATTTTGGGCATGAAGCGTGTGGCAGCGAATTTCGTTCCAAAATTGCCCGTGAGCATCGCTCAGGAATGGTTGAATGACGTCAATGGCGATCCAGATTTGCTCAAAAGGGTCATAACTGGTGAGAAATCATGGCCATATGGTTAAAACATCGAAACCAAAGTCCCATCGTACCAATGGAAAAGCCCAGGACAGCCATAAGACCAAAAAGCACACCAAGTTCCATCGAATGCACTGTTTTCTTTGGTTACCATGGCGTAGTGCATCTGGAGTTCTTGCGACATGATCGTACTGTTAATAAGGAGTATTATGTAGAAATCTAAAGACATTAATTTTAAACGTTCAAGCCAGTCTCGATATACCTACACAGTAGGTTGAATGGACTGACGCCTATCAGAAAACAACTACTCCCCTGACTAATACCACGAAAGGCGTTGGATTATATCCGACAGGTGTCAGTGCAGGAATTATCACAGAAAATTTCCTGCGTGAGCAATTGGCAATACAACTGAAAGAGTCGACCTTCAATTTTGGAACGCGCGCGCACTAGCAGACCGAAA